CCCGTCTTAAAGCTCATCATTGCCAGCATTCACCACACAAGCGAACTCCAGGCACTCAAGATTATAATTTCAGGTTATACTTTCTTGAGCTTTCTGAAAAATGACTTCATAGAATCGTTTGGCCAAAACAGGAAAGGTAAGGTGGCAGGACAATCTGTCTCTGGAACATGGGCATAATGAACACGAATGATGAATTACCCACATCCTCTGGGATCTACCTCAGTGCTGCAGTCCGTTCTTATGGTGACATTCCTCCGGCAAAAACCCCAGGAAGGTCTTTTTTAAATAATATGTATTTTTCCTTTTCTGTTATCATCTCACAAAACAGTCTTTACCTGTTCTCTTTGCCAATCACTTAGATAACTTAATATCCCAGGGCGGCGGGTGAGCCGGAAGGCTTGGGAAAGAAAGGCAAGAAAGCAATATGAATACTCATGCTTCTCAACTCCTCTCTCTTGATCTTAACTTTGGAGTCAACCTAGAGCCCTCCTTCTGCAAGAAGACAATGGGGTAATGTAATTAATTTAAAGGGGTTCATTTTTGGAGATGGAGAGAGAAAAGCTAATACTGAAAAGTATCCGAGGCCTCCACCAGGCTCCCTAGGAGCCGCTGTGTGTATGTCTCTATCTGCTGCTCTGGGACCTCCCTCCCGGGGTCTCAGACACCACTGTGACCAAGGACAGAGCTCCAGGAGGACTGTCCTGAGTTGGGAGCTCTGGTTGCTACCTACTACATTTGATTTTATCACACAACTTTGTGTTAGTGACAGCCTGACTGATCTCACTCAGTGCCTTTTCCTTCTGGCCTAAAGCCACTAAAGCAGTGTTTCCGAAGGCACGTCCCTGAGAACACTGGTCCTGGGAGAGGCTCTAGGAACAAAGCATTGTTAGTCAAAAAAGTCTGAGAAACACGTAGACACTAAGCCTGCAATCTGATATTAAAGCTTCTGTTAAGTCTTCCAGTAAAGAAACAATTTTTAGTCACCATTTCCCAAGTATATTTAATCAAGAAATCCTTGGTGTATGTGTGTGTAAAACTTATTAAAAATCTCATGGAATGGATTTTGGGAAACCCCAAATTAAGGCTGTAGTTTTAGCCAACGTGTCTTGCAGGTACTGTAAGTATCAAGCTGCCTGAGTGTGAAAGAACACCCACGAACGGCCTTAAAGGTGGCGATGCCAGGTGTGGGGTGAAGTCAGCACTTCCCAGTATGAAATTCAAAGATTCCGGCAGAAAAACAAGAATCTCAAAAACGAACTGATATTTACACTGTTGTCAGAACTACTTTTAAAATACAAATGGGAGTTTGCCAGACAGTTACAGTAAGGTCCTTTGGTTTTGTTAATTTCCATCAAGAACAGTTCTGAATATGGAATCATGCAGTCACACATACACACGCGCACACACAAAACACAAGTGCACAGCACGATCCTCATCGTGACTCTCCCTTCCATTCGCAAGTCTCCCTTGAGGCATTGATGGCTCCACCCATGGAAGACGGATCGATACGAGAAAGAAATTACAACAGGAAGGCGTGAATTAATCCAGCAGTCTTTCCCATTCATCTTGTCACAAAGAGCTTATCCTGAACACAGAGGGAAAGGGAACCAGCATTCCCCACCCCACCCCGCTTCCTGCCTTCTGCTTTCAGATGGCAAAATCTGGGTCTCTATATGTTGATAGGGGACCTATCATTGAAACTCTTGTAACAAAGGACCTTTCTTTAGTCTCTGGAAACCCGGTTAGGATAAGGACGTGTGACGACTGAATACTCTGCCATTATCTTAATACTGGGGGAACGGAAAGGGGTAACCTCTCCCCTCAATGCCCAATGACTAAACAATGGAGGCTGGCTGTGGAGTCAGGACTCAGTTGTTTTCTGTAAGAAATGTCTTCTGTAGACCTAACGTTTGCACAGAGTACTCTTCCTCCTGCTACTTCCCAGTTTTTCATGACCATCTCCCTTTCAGTGGCAAAATATCACAGTGCGTCTTGGCAGGTGTCACTTTGCACCCTCCAGCTGTCCAAGGTTTATGTCCTTTAACCTACTACAACAATGACTTCAAATCAGGACTAAAATGTCTCCCGCTCTCCTGCCCTTGATTTGTCTAGTTTGCGCCTGTTAAAAATCCCATCCTTCCCCAAGTTCTTGACAGTAACGCCAAATGCTACCTTTCTCCGCATTGGTAATTCTGGGCCAACTGGATCAAAAGAGTCACAAATATTTAGAAGTCTCAGATCTTACCGATAAGCATAGACACGACTCAGATATGTACAGGAATGAGGAAGGGGGAGTCCTTCAAATGTATCATTTATTTCAGGTTCAGAAATACAGCTTCACATTTTCACAATAGGTACATGTGACCTTCAAGAATGATACAGGCTTTAGGAACTTGCTCCAAAAATTCCATTCACAGAGTCCGTCCATATATCAGCATTAAGAAATCCTGAAAGTGCCACGAAGACAGTGGAAAGTATTCCGGCTCAAATTAATTCATCAACAGAGAAGATAAGATTTTGCTTTTGTACACTGCTTCTTTATATACAAAAAGCAAAAGAGGATATTGATTCAGAAAAGGGAGAGAAAAGAAACATAGACAAGCGAGTAAAACAAAGGCAGTACATGTGAAATTAAACGCAAATCAAGTAACAGTGGAATTTCTGCTTGGGAGGAATCCTTTCTATCAAATTGGCAACAGACAACGCAGGAGGTTAGACAGGGTAATTTTATCATAAGTTTAAAAACATGATATAATGTGCAAAGTTTAAGGAATATGAGGGTAAAAATCAGAAAGTAATGAATGCCTTGGGCCGAGCCACGTGTGAAATCCCAGATCAGACTGGCGAGAAGTCTCGCCAATGTACCAGCGTGAACAGGTCCGAAGACAAACAGGAAACTCTTCCTTGAGTTTCCTCTCTCTTGCTCTCAACATACACACCTTCCTACACACACATATACATATATAAATATCAATGCCTATACTATATATGCTTCAAAATATTCTTAAAGTTTCACAATACAGAGCACCACATAATTTTAAACATACCAGTTAGACACGATGACTGAAGATTATCTAGAAGACACATTTGAGCTTTTAAGAAACAAATGAGTGATATAAGCGACCCAATTGTCGTTTCTCTGAAATCATCTCGCTTCCTTCACACTCAACTCTGAGCTCACCGCTTGCAGTCCTCTTGGTGAAATGACATAACTCATGGCTTGAGTCTCAAACATTATCTTCTTTCACTGAGCTCCATAGTTGAGAGGTCTAGTATTTAGGTATTATTCTCCACGTTAAGGAGATGCCTGTCAATGTCAAATAATTATATTGTTTGCCAAATGAAAAATGTGTACCTGAAAAAGGGGATGGATGCCCTGCCTCTCAGGTATCACATAACTTCTTTCCTGCATTTTAAACAAATTTACTCAGAAAAATCCTCTACTTGTATCATATTGCTGTTTCCCTCTACTGCATTTTTTTTTGACATTTACCGTTGAGAAAAAAAATGACTATGTAGACCAACTTAGCTTTCTAAGACTCAGCCCAGCAAGCGAAGAATAATTTATGATTCTAATCAGGGTTCTTAAAGGTAGGCTTCCAGATCTGACACTTGTTTTGCGCTATGTTGGCAAAGATAGTTTCTCCTTAGATAGCAGTGCTGTGGATTCAGATGTAAATGCCTGTCAGTGTTCTTCTGCCATGATGTCATGGAAATTCTGAGCTCTGCGTCTCTCAGAATGAATCTGCAGAAAATGTGGTATATCTCACGTACGTTAAGAGAAATGAACCACCGTTATCACGTGTTATGGCAAATACTCTAAAGCTAACTCTTGTATTAGCACTGTTTAAAAAATAGATTCATACCCACACGTACAAAGCACATGTGTACATAAATATTTACACCCACACATATACATATATGTACAATACACATACAATCACACTCATGCTTGTGGTATTTTAACATGTGATTTTAAACCTACTTACCCAGAGGGGCACAAAATATATGTACTTACAGAAACAAATATACTATGTAATTCCAAATATATGCCGTATACATAGAGACACATGCATAGAAGATGTGTGTGTACACAGAAAACATCAACATTTATCACATACTGGTATTAGGTCCCATTTCATATTTGAGAATTATGGCTACAGTCTCTACTAAAAAGTCATAAAATAATCTATATGACTACTTTTTAATTCTAAGGTCAGAAGGCTTACAGTTATATCACAGGAACTTGGTTTTATTATAATGCCTTGGAATAGAATGAGCTTGTATCTGAACAAGCAGGCAATACGCTAATTAAACAGACCCTACCGCTCCTTTTTCTATGTTACAAAACACAGCTAAAAGCAATATTCAGAGGAGTAGCCTTGGTAGCTGACTTCTGGAAAGGTAATGTATCTGTTTTAAATCGATAAATACTATGTCAATCGTCTGTCCACAATTGAGTAAATGGTTATTCCAATTAGTCAATAATGCACAATTTAGCATGTGACAGTGAAATAGATGTGCCTACCAGATAAACATCAGTTAATTTTTCCAAATCCTAAAAACACTGCATGTTTCCTTACACTAGACGTGATGGAGCTGCATCTGTTGTATAGACAACGTCAGAGCAATCAGCTGGGAGGAACTTACACGGAAGATTTGAAGTGTATGGGAAATACTTAGAAAGCTCATTAAGCTACATTGCCATCTTAAGCCCTGATATATACACTGTACTTCAAACACTGCACATTCTAGAGCTTCTGACTTCATTTATATTGGCATCTCCTTTGGGCAGGATGCAAACCCTTTGGGAAATGGCATTAATACTAATCATATGACACAGGACTGCAGCAAACTGGAAACATTCTCCAACATGACTGCTGAAATCCCAGGGGAGGCTGGGTTCTACCAGAAATAACTTAGAACTAAAATAAAACAAGGATGTACACACACAAGAAGAGATAATTGCGACAGCGAAACTGTGGGATTGTAATCTGAGAGCAAAAGCCAAAGATGACACATGCATAAAGTCAGTGGAAAGAAACTTGGAAAAAAATCTCCAATTTTCTTTGACATGGTTTGTGCTGATCTGAGAACACACCAGTGGTTATCCGCAATATTTTCCTTTAACAGAAGGACATTTTTGAGATACAGCAAAACACAAAGTCATATGTTGCTCAAAGCCAAACCCTGAAGTATATAATCCGTTAGCTGCCTATTTTAGAGAATTCCAAGGAAGAAGCAAAGGGAATCCTAAAAAGAGAATTTTATGAAAAGACCTCACTGTAGCTTATTCATGTTACTGTGGACGTTTATTTAACATACCTCCATTTAGCTGCGACACTGCTTAAAAATACAGTATGTTTCTCGCACATCCATTCCATTCACAAAGAGTTAAATTTTTTTCAGCAAGAAAAAATAAGGTACGAGAGAAGATTTAGGGTGGTGTTCTTCATACAATCACTTGAAATTTAAAAGCTGAAACGCCCTTTTTGTAATTCTTGTATTCTCTGATTTTTGCTTAAGTGGGCTGATTTTAACCCCTTAGAATAAGTTCAAAACAATGCCATTCCACTTGGCAAGTTCTCTTTTTAATAATGGTTAAAAGTTTCTACTTCATACTTTATGAGTGTCTGCTTTGGGTATAAACTACACAGGAAATTAAAGTTAAGTTAACATACAAATCATGTTTGCTGCTTTCAAAGGGAGACATTTCAGTTGGCAAAACCTGATTTACTTCTGCAGAATATGAAGTGGTGTCATGGGACACAACTATTCAGTGAATACTTGGTCTGCTGTCTGGGAACAGTTAGCAGACGGAATTCCAGTTGGCTTCTGGCTGTTTCCTACATGCTAATCACCCAGTCCTAGGTAGTCCAAAACTCAGCCTCCAGACTGAACTATTAACCCCCAGCCGAAACTGCTTTTGTAAATTCTGGAAATGTTAGAATTTGCCAATTTGCTTTAAATTTCAATGTCTTAATACAGTTTTCTGGGAAGAGACTCTGAAGTTGTCCCACTGTAGGAGTGTGAGCTCTGCTCTTAGACCATCGTATCTTGTACTAAATGACTTTTCTTTCCATGCCAGGTCCCATTCTTTAAATATGGTTATCCCACAGGAAGGCTCAGGATTTATTAAGAAAGTCTAGAATGGATAAAGAGTTACATTAAACCTGTTTTAAAGGTAGGCTAAATTTTTACATTAGGGAATCACATATTAGCATGGAAAAAGAGACGTATTTTTGCTCTAGCTAACTAACCAAATAAATCAACAGGAATTAGTGTCAAAGTGTAGTTATCCATGCCTTAAATTAGATCACTAGAAAAAATTAAGTATTTTCCGTGTCAGCCTTCACTGTAACCTATGAGGAGGTAATTATATAAGTGAATAGAGAAATTACATTTGTCCGAACACTTCTAGAGATGTGATATTTTGCTTCTTCCTTGAACTCTGAAATTAACTAGCCAAATTTATCGACCGACTACCAAAAAACAAGTTCTCATTCATTGTTGAATATGCTTTTGGCATGAAGCAAAACATATTGGCACGAGAAACCCTCTAGAGCAAGCAATGCATTAACTTTTCCCTTGTAAACCACCTCGTGCTTCTGGTAAAGTTTTATGCTTAAGGAATCCTAATTTAAAAAAAAAAAACACTTCATAGCAGTCTTATGAAACAAAGAGGAAAGAAAAAAGGATCTAAATAGGTAATTATGGAGTAGGTGGAAACATTAATAATAGACAACATAATTTCCATCAGTCAAAACAGAATGTGGGAAAATAAAATATATATCATTTAGGTCTAAGCCCATCATCTCTTATCTCTTAAGAGTTACACTGAATGGACTGTCTGGTAGGTAACCTGGGAAACTCGTCCAAAGCAATTTCAAATATATACTGGGGTAGGTCAAAGGTCCCCAAAGGAGAGGGCTGCCAGACAACCTACCTTGGTCGAGACAACATACAGAGCCTCAAAGGGTCAGCAGTTTTCAAGAGTTAAACCCCCAAAGTCTGACATACCATGAGCAGTGAAGGTAAGTGATGGATGCATTAGTAAAACTGGTTACTTGCCTACTGATGTCCACACATGCGACTACTCATGATTTACTGCAACGGTTATCAAATATTTTGCTTTCGCGTAACTCATTAGTAATTAATTGCCATGCCAGACACTTCGTTTAGTCTAACAGGGAGGATTCTAGTGGACGGATTATAGTGGGACGAGTTGGTGATGGGGGTGGTCTCCGGCTAGAAAGAGAGAAAGAGAAAAGTAAAGAAACAAGTAGAATATCTAGTAGAAGGTTGTCCCAAAGACATCGAGAAAGAGCCATCACGCGCATGCGCATGCACTGACAGGCCAGCGGGGGGCGGTCGCCACCTGCAATGATTTAACACGATCACCCTTCATTCACTCAGCATGTTGTAACAAAAGTGAGGTATTCTGTCATATGCAGAATCTTGCTAGAAACTGAAGTTGTCCCTCCCAATACTAATAAAAATATTAAATCATTTAAAAGCCATCTGAAATACACTGCATATTTCTCAGCCAACAGCCTATGAACTGTGCTACGTTACACCCACTCCGAGAATGAATAAGGTATTGAGGCCTCAGAGATTGACAGGGTTTGGATTTTTATTGCCCTTTATGTAATATTCTCCTTCTTTTTCTCCCTGTCAGGATGTTAATTATCACTTTTCATTGCCTTCAGCAATAACTTTCTCCAATTTGTTCTACATTTTACTTCTAATTTGCAGGGCACTAGAAAACCAGAAAGGTTTTTGAATTCTCTGCAATAAGTGTAAAGAGGCTCAGGGTGAGTGCCTGAGTAAATTGCTCGAGCTCTGGTTCCTATTCTGGGTCTTAACATTTTTATTCTCAGTAGCAGTATTGCTCACTTTCTAGTGGGTAATGGTGTTTCTAATAGCTGAGGTCACTGATAAACTTCAGATAATGAAATGTTACTGTAGCTGAGAATCTCAGCTTTACCAGCTAATACTCTTTATTCCCTGAACCCGTACATTTATTTCCTAATGTATTCATAAGCTTTCTGTTTGTGGACTTGACGGTCTTATGTAATGTCTCAGAGAGTAATATTTATAACCAACAAAATTCAACAAATTCAACAAACGGAAACCTTTCTTCTTCATAAAACTCTTCCACTGATGTTTTTTTCTGAAAGACCCCTTCTGGAATTACAGCCATGTCATGTGTCCTGAAATTTTCTTCTGGACTGGAAACACTAAATTGATCAAATCAAATGTTCTTTCTCCAGATGAAGGGGTAAAAGTTAGAAAAGTTAAAGAAAACAGTTGTGAAATGTTAAAAAAAAATTACAAAGCTAGAAAATAACATCAGATGGCCAAGGAAGAAGCAAAGCAGAAGAGATACTGTCGCTTAATGGTCAAAATACTGTCCTCTTAGGCACAAACTCACAGATAATAG